ATTCAATAATGCAACGTAACCAATGAGGTTGCTATGGCTACCACATGATCAATTAGTATGTAATCTGTTAACACACCCAGGTGCATATGGCTGTTTACAATATGTGAATATTATTCAGCTTTGCACCTCACACTGACCACCTCTTTCCATTATAATCTTTTGCAGACCGATGTTTACAATTTACTCTCTTGTATTAGTTATAGTATTACGATTGACCTTAAACTCTTGTGGTATTCTTTCATATTAGATGTGAATGAACGAAACCGTAGACTTTTGAACGGAATCGAAGTAATTTCAAAAAGTGCTCGTTTCTATTCTCCATCAAAATGGACTCGAAATTGAAATTCTGGCTACGATTCATGAACAGTGCTACTTGCAGACTTTAAATTCCATCCACTCGAATGAAGGGTCTTCCACTGTTTTCGCTTTTGTTTCCATTCGGCCCTTATGTTTTCATCTTTCTCTTGCCCTTGACGAGAACGTGAAAATTATTGATCAAAAAATACTTGTTGTGAAAGAATTGAACAGTCGTAACAGGACACTTGACGAATCAGTGCATCGCGTTTTTACGACATTGATAAGACGATCAAATGGCTGATCAGTTCGAAGAAGTTGAAAGCATATGCGAAGCTGCGATAGCGTCTACGAGTTCCACAAGCACAGTGAATGTCACTAAAGCTGGTGGAATGAAGAGGAGGTTGAGCAGCTGGGTGGATGGTGTAGATGATCAACCCGAGGAAAGCTTTAAGGAAAAAGAGAAACAGGGAGAAGAACCTGCTAATGCAGACGTATCATCGCCTTTGTCACCCCAGTCGATGGTGCGTTACTAGTTCATTTGAAATCATTTCATCCACTTTTCGATTCTCGCTTTCAGCATTCGTACTGATCGATGTGAATTTTCCCATCCGTTTCTTCCACTGTTCTTGTCATCCTCAACAATTTTCTCGCAAAAATTTTAGCAAAAATCAGAAACCGATTCGTTCAGCGAAAGGCGATCATCAGCCGAGGAACAAGTAAAAAGGTGAAGTAATATCGCTTTATAATGCTCTCCTCGCCTATATTTGTGCTATTCGTATTTATGCAAAATCTTAACTTCATCTCCATCAAAACCTTTCAGTAACGCTGGGCTTTCGTGGAGAGCAGTGAAGTTCTTAACTTCACGTTAATAATATACCTGCATAAATATACAACAAAATCATATTCTCTAGTTAGTAGCAGATTTCTACAATATTTATGATATTGCCTGATTACTAACGATCTCTTCAAAGGGTACGTTTTCGTTTCAGTCCAACATCGTCGATCACTGACTTGAAGCGTTTGTCCGCTTCCAGCACTCAAGATGCTTTATCAAATACACTTCGAACAAAGATTCGAGAAGAAACAAAATCAAAGATCAACCAAAAACGCGAAAGTATCCAATTGACGAAACGACTGCAGCGTAGTAAATCTCAAGTGATCGACGACGAGCCACTGAGTGATATTGATCAAGATTCACTCGATGCCCAGATTGAACAATCGCTTCAAGTTTGAAATTCCATTTGACTTTACCTTCGTTATAGGATCAGTTAATATCCATTCAATNATTTTGAATGTAGCAGTTATCAAAACAGTATTCCAATCTCCACTCCAATATTTGCTAAAAATTTTGATTGATACTGAGTGAATGTTTAGCGGAAAAATTGAATGTTCACCGAAAGGATGAACTCGTGATCTTTTCTTATCATTCAGTTGGGATCGAAATTCGTGCAAGACAAAGAAGACAATCGATTACCATCTGCTACAGTACAGTATGACTTTTTGACAGCTACATATAAGGATGAAAACGCTGACGAAGAGAGTGACGCCGCAGGTTTGTCAGAAACTCATGCCCATTCTGCTTGAAATCAATCAAATTCGTGACAAAAACAGACATGCGTATTGCCCCACAATAGTATGAATGTTTGTATGAAATCACTACTACGGCATTTCATTTTCAAGAAGTGGTGGAACAGAACATTGTTGTTTCGCAGAAATAATCTATTAATTCATCATACATCTCGAATTGCAGTATTCTATGGAAGAGCGAGGCCTCAATGTCGAAACGATCTTGAGAAATTCCATACACTCTGCACATCGTATGATAAGAGAAATGCACCGGCATCCACAGACGCTGAAAATGGATTGCCCAGGTTACATTGCACTGGAAGTGCATTGGAAGCTATTTACTCTACATAACTCGAATAAAAATTGCCTCTCAACGAAATTATTACTTCTTCTACAAAAAAAAGCTATCTTATAACTTTTCTGACCAGTCATGACGTGAGTTATCATA